AAAAAGGAGCTAAGCAAGAGCTAAAGAGCTGACAAAATCAAAAAACTTCATATGACAGTCATTAGGAACTAAATTATGCCAACTATACAACCATAGAAGACATCTAGCCTTAAGCACCATAGGAGGAGTTGATATCCCGTCAAAACACAGTAGTATACATCATCTTTTGTGTTTGGCTCTTCCATCGCATTTTCTTGCCGAATATTATCTGTCCACTGCTTAATTGCTTGAGCAATTTATGAACTTCTTGTCTCTTTTTCATGGTGGATTTTCAGCATGTGGTATCAATTAACATGTTTGCTTGAGCTAAGCCTACTGAGGCCACATTGGCCCAGTAATGAGTGAAGAAAGTTGAGGCCTAAGGGAAATCGTGTGAAATTCCACCTTTCTATCTCTTTCTCTTGGTCTAAATCTTATAAACTGATGTAACTGACAGCCCTTATGCCATGTGAGGCTTAGCCCTTGATCAGCTTAAAATGAAGAAAAGCTTCTTTTTATTGAACAAGAAAGAATAAAGGGATGCTTCTATGGTTTTCTTATGCAGCTCTGCTTCTTTTTTTGGCATATGCTTGTGTGACTTTTGCAGTAGCATCCCTTTTCAGTGAAGCTTTTAATTCTTCCACTTTTTTTCCCTACATTTTTGAATTACATCATTTTAATTACTTTTTGCACGGCTTTCTCTTAATTCAACTGAGCAGCTCTTTAATTCGTTGCGCAGGACATTGTCATGTATGTCAACTCTCCAGGAGGATCAGTAACGGCAGGTACAACCAAGTGTTTCCAGTCAACTCACTTTGTTTCTGCTGCCAATTTGCCATAGTTATTTCAGTTTTGATTGCATAGTGTTGACTGTTATAATCAGTTTTACTGTCTACTTTAATGCATGGTTCATCAATTGTTGTGCACCTATTATATCTCAGGAATGGCCATATTTGATACCATGCGGCATATTCGACCTGATGTCTCCACTGTCTGTGTTGGACTCGCTGCAAGGTACTTCTTTGGTTGCTTATACCTTTGTGTTTCTCCTAGAAGATGATCTTACTGCACATTGTTGCTTGTGATGCATATTTTGTGAAAATCACCTTTACACAACCCATGATGGGACACCAAAGCTTTCCCGCATAGGTTCTTTTTTTTAAATTTCTGATTAGTATCTTTCCACTTCCGATCATGCTATTGGCATTTTTGACAACCTCTCCTTTCATTTGGTATTTTGCACTCTAATTTTTTTTTTTTGGATCGGTATTCACACTCCTCTATTTTGGTGCCGAAGTTCGTCAAAAATAGTTTTTCCTGGAATTTAGGGGAAATATTTGAAAATGTTGGGATCGGATTTGCTTTTCCTTTCTCTTCTTCCTCTCCCTTTACCCTTCTCTTCCTCCTTTTTCTCACTTTTAGCCCCTTGTAAGCCCTCTTCCTATACTGTGTCAGTTCATCTGATCCCAAATTCCTGAGGACTTCCCTTGAATGAAGAAGTATCCAATCTCAGAGAAATTAATCTAATATAAATTTATTTTGTTTGTTTGAATAGATGTGTTATCTGATAGTATTTCCAGGTTGATGTAATTGCTTTTACAATCCACCCCACCTTTCATGCGGTTATTTCCTTGACCTTCATATCAATAGATGGGTGAGTTGCGGACAATTTACAAGTTTATTTCACAAGGTTTTTTTTCAATTAAAACTTAGATTCAGTTACAAATGGAATTTATGGAGTCTATTTTACTTTTGGTACTGTAAGGTGATTGCCTTAGCTTTTTTTTTTTCCCCCTTCATGGAATAACTAGATTTCCTTTACGTAGCTAATTTTTATGTTTTGGGGCATTGCAGTATGGGAGCTTTTCTTCTCAGCGCGGGCACCAAAGGTAAATTAAATAGCTGATTCAAGGATAAAACAACTTTCTTTATGCTATACTTCTAGTTTTTGTTCTTAACTTTGATGTGATTATCACCTTGAAGGAAAGAGATATAGCTTGCCAAATTCAAGGATAATGATTCACCAGCCTCTTGGTGGTGCTCAAGGTGGCCAAACTGATATAGATATACAGGTAATCACTCTATTTTATGGCACAGTTTGTTCAAAATTTTTGCATCTTGTAGTCAATATTGCAATATTGCTTCTTCATCAAAAAATATTGGTATATAGAGTACAACATCTGGCTTCATCCCATGGCAGAATCCCAATCCCTCATACAAAAAGATGCTATAATCACAATTCCTTACTTTAAAAAAATTACATTCTGCATAATGTGGGGCCAAATAAAAGTACCATCCGAACAGTGCCCCTTAAAACATAAAATAGATGGAAAATGTCCAATTCTATGTTTATTTAGAGAATGCATTATAAGTGGTGGTTTATAAGTTACAGGATCCAATTATAAACTGCCCATGACAGAACCTCTGACCCTTGAAAAACTAAAATCAGCCTGCACTGTGTGCTTTCAAAGAAAAGTACCTTTGAACTATTTACATAAAAAAGGATAGAAAAGTACGTTTGGACAGTGCACTTGTAATGGAAACTAAGGAAATATCCAATTCTTTGTTCATTTAGAGAATGCATAACACGTGGGACAATTTTGCGATGTTGGCGGTGGTGAAATATAAATACAATAATTTTTACCAACCCCAAACCTTGTGGATTATTCCCATCCAATCCTTTGAGAGAGCTAATCAACTTGCTTGGGATTGTGGCATAGTAGTAGCTGTTGTATCTTAGTTTAGACAATTTTGCGATGACGAGAGTTAATTTTCCAAAACTTCAGCTTATGCACACAAGTTAGTCAGAGCTTACAGATTTCCATCTCTCTTGTGCAATAACTCAAATAGTGCAACTTCTCTTCGATAAGTTAATAATACTGAAATATGTATGTGAAATCATTTCTTTTTTTCATGCTAAGACGCTAAACCACATATAAATGCATGGCTTTCATTGAATTATAACTCTAGTATTTGTAAATTGGTAATGATGGGATAGTTAGACCTAAATCATGCTGGCATGGTGTTCAGGCTAATGAGATGTTGCATCACAAAGCTAACCTGAATGGGTACCTTGCCTACCACACTGGTCAAAGCCTTGAGAAGATTAACCAGGACACAGATCGTGATTTTTTCATGAGTGCAAAGGAAGCTAAAGAGTATGGGCTAATCGATGGTGTCATCTTGAATCCCATGAAAGCCCTTCAACCTCTTGTAGCAGCTGCTGAACAATCATAGCTGAATTCCGAGGCTGGTCAATTTTCTCCCATCATTTTTCTCTCGCGCTTGGATGATGTTATTGATAGTCATGACTAGAGATTGTAATTGATTACTGGGTTTTGGGTAGAATTATCATTCCTGCTGCCAGGAGCAATTGTACACGAACGTTTACAAGTTCATCAGAGCGACAGTAAGGGAAGAGTAAAATGTATCTGACCTAATCCCATAAATGTTTTTCGCGCAGGTCTTGATGTTTCTTTTAAAGATTATTTTCTACTCTCATTTTTCCTTTAATAACATTCAAATTCGTCCGGATGGCATGCCATGTGAAAGAAACTTCTATTTCTTTCTGTTCATGTTTTGCTGCTTGATGAGGGCACAAGATAAATGTTGGCACTGTATCAAGTGCAATCCCTGTGGAGAAGCTTGTTTCCTGTGACTCTAGACAGTTTCGATACAGGTTAAAGGGCATATATAAGTTGAATAAATGGCGAATGTGGAAGCTAGTTTATTTGATTTCCAATTTATAGGCTAACTGGATTATATTATTGTTATTGAAGAACAAAGGCTTCCAAAGGACAGCTAAGTGACAAAGAGGTTTGCAACTTATTCTGGTGTTACTGCTATGTACGCATTTGGACATAAAAATTGTAATTTTTTTTTAAAAGTAGTATTTCCTGTTAAGTTGAAAAATAATATTTTGAAATTGTGTTTGGACATGCATTTCACTTTAAAAAAATATTGCATTTTTGTGAGTAGGGAAAAAGTTTGTTTTGAAATTTTTGAAAAACTCATTTTGTAATTTTTTCAAAAACTTACAAAATTTTATGGACAAATGCATTTTTGAAAAAAAATAACTTATGGACAAACTGGTCCTAAGAGTTTGCATCCCTAGTTGGGTTTTTCTTTTTTTCTTCCTCAACATGTGAAAGGAAACATAATTATTGAACTGTGTGAACAGGGAAAAAAAGATTTTTATTGAATATTGACGAACTTTCCTAGTTTGCCTATACAATGCTACTCTTTATTGAAAGGTTCTTTGTGAGATGAGATTTCAATGTAAGTTCAATTATTTTTGTTTTTTAAGGCAATTGACATACAATCGTTTATTATATCCTTTGGCCCTTGCGATGCACGGTAAAACACATTTAATCTTTAATTAATTTAAGTGTATTTTTATCCTTTTATATAGAAAATATTTTATTTTAGATTTTTTTGCAATTATACTACCCTCATAATATGAAATAAAACAAAAAAAAATTAGCATAACATACAAGTAGTGACGTAGTTTAACATATAAAAATTCATTAAATGTGTGGCTATTCATTAAATCGAAGCTTAAATATGTCTAAACGAATATCACAAGGACAAAAATAAAATTAGTCAAGAATTCAGGGGCTAAAAGTGTACTTCATTCTTCAACCAAAACGATTGACAACTGATGAGATGGGACCAGACCGTTTCGTCAGCCCAAGGTAGCCCCTCTCTGAAATGGACCTTCCTTAGTATTACCTGCCTGGGCTTACTATCGGACTGTAGCAGGAGATATTCAAAATTAATCTGATTTATAACTGCTAATACAAAATTAGCTATTATTTTACATGTAGATTCCATCATAATGTATTGGAGTTCAAAATATCCTGTATGTGAATTCCACATAATACACTGAAGTTTAACTTGTATCCAGCATAATATGTTGAAATTCGCTTACAAGGTGTCTTTGAAGTTTCAACTCCAGTACAATATGCTGGAGCTTTATATGCAATAGTTTCATTATTCAGAATGTTATGCTGGATTTTTCCTATGTTTGCTAAGGATATTATTGTTCAGATTTTATTTCCGCATAAAAATCGCGGTTATTTAATATAATTTTGCAATCACGAGTTATTTTTCACTATAAAGCCCAGCAGTGAAACGTAACTGCTTCAGAGTTCCTTTCTGAAGTGCTCCTCTCGTAGCAATTTTGATATCATCAAGTCTTCCTCTTATTTCTGTTCCCCCCCTTCATTTTACCTACTCCAGGGAAAATTCCATGTTACGCTCGCTTTATGCATGAATTTGAGGTTTAACTACTAGCACAAATTAAGGGGTCGTTCGATTTCTAAACAAGTTATACAGAAATTATAAGATCAAAATTAAATAATTGCAATATTATTTAGTGAATATTCTTTTATTAGTAGATATTTGATTTATATTAGATTATAAATGGGACATATGAGCTATAATATAAGACACGTTTGATTTTACTATAGATAAATTTGAATGGCTAACGGTGGATATTTCAACAACGTCTGCCGTATTTTCATGAACATCTTCTTTTAACTTATAAATTAATTCGTCATAATCCCATAATCCCACGTATTTATCAGTATTGGATGGTTGTTACCCGTTGCATTGTTACTTTAAATACAATATTTGTTTTGATTGTTACTTAAATTTTATTGTATCGTATCGTTAAATTCGTTATTATGTAACGACGAAAAATACCACTTTATGAAACGACCGATTTGATGTGATTACATTGTTTCCTCTTCTTTTTTTTTCATCTTGTCCTTCCTTATTATTAAATAATCAATCTTTATATTTTACCCTACCTTTTTATATAATAACTAGGGAACTTGACCGCGCTTCGCGCGATCATTTAAATATGCTATAATTATGTAATCATATTCCCACGTTGGATATTAGATATGGTGAAAATGAAAAACGAAGTCCATCAATTTGAGCGTCTAATAAATGGGGGGTAAATAACATTTATTTGTAACAATATAAACTTAAATTTTGCAAATGCAATAACATAATATTCGAATATACATATAGTCATTCTTTGCATGATTTATCTGGTAATACTCCTTTATATAATTCATTTCTAAGTTGTGCTTGCTCATACTTCAAATATTTTATCCTCATTTGTGTGATTCTTGTATACATCTCATCCATGGAGGGTTCAGGTTGTTTTTCTACCTCTGTAACAAAAGACGAATTGTAGTTTTAATATAGCTAAGAATAGTAAAGTAATAAAATTATTTAATTTAGCAAAAATAATTTACCTTGACAATTATTCAAGGAAGTTTGATGTCGTTGATCTATAATTTGTTTATCCATTGTAGAAATCCTGTATAATGTAAGACAAATTTTAGTGTGCAGATATAAGCATATCATGAATTATATTATTAATGTATATTTAATATAGATCTCTATAATTATGTATTATTTTATATGCTTAAATCTTTATGCTACTTTAGAGACAAAAGTATTTGTGCAAAGGAATATGATTTGTGTAGAACAATGGAAGAATAATGTATAGTTTAGGAATAAACCTGATGTTTAAAAACTGCTCCTCTTCGTGGTTGTATTATATTTTGTGTTATTTTGAATCATCCTTCCACCTTCCTTGCATGGTGTCTTTCTTGAATTTATAGGGGTAAATTGAATGTTTGTTTGAATCGCTGGAGATCTTGAAAAAAGATGTGTATCAACAATTTGAATGATAATAGAAGGATGATTAGGGATTTATTTTATTTTTTTAATAGGAAAGAGTCGTTAGTGATTTAGTGGAATAATGAGAGAATGGGAAGGTAAAGAGGAAAATGAGAGAATAGGTGTATAAAAGATAAATAATAAATAAGAAAGAATATACATTAAAGCGAAATCTTTTTCGGAATCTCACCAGTGTAAAATTTATAAAAACAGAACAATATTCATCAATCAGTCGATTGTTTTTAAAACTCTTTTAATGTTATAATTATTGTTTTGTATTATAGATGGCCGTAAAGTTTTAAGACCAACATAAGAAAAGTTAAATTTTGTAACTAAAAGTACCTCAGCGAAAACTCAACCAGCTGACCACATATGAATTGCATTTGTGTATTATGTAGCCCTAAAGATCAATTCATGCGTCCTGTAATAGCGAGATCAAATGTAGGTATATTGGGCTCCACAGACACCTATGGTAATTGAAAAAAATTCTGAGTAGATGCAAACAAATATAAAATATATAGTTCTCAAAAAATAACACGTACCAACATCTTTGCACTTCCAAAAGCATAAATCTTTAATTGTTTAAATAGAGGTTTAAAAAAATTAATGTCGAACTTGCTTTTGATGCAATAAGAGATTACTACCTGTAGACCAATTCAACAATTATCGAGATGGATAATTCCGTTTCACAGGGCTTAATATGGTATACGAATGCTTATTATACATGTAGAAATAAACATAAATAACTGAATCTTATATTCGTACTCTATTAACACAGGGTTAAATAATCCTCTTTTTTTTTAATGTTTTTGTCATTTTTTTATTGAACTGAGAGATCGGTAAAGGAGTAGGGCCTATAAAAATAGTAAAAAATGAACTCATACCTATTATGTGGCGTTGATAAAAGAAAAGACGTAAATATTTTGAGATGAAAAGACACGAAGAGAATCTATGTATAAAAGTATAAGAATCATGAAGGTACCTTTTCGTCAATAAATATCATATCCAAGCCAATCAACTCTCCATTTTTCTTGGGATTAAAAGAATCCCACATTCTGCAAATTCTAACCCTTATCAACCAATTATCCCTATGAAGAGCTAACTCTGAAAGGAAAGAGTATGCCATTCTAAGAAAATAATAAAAAGCAAGAGAAAGCAAGCTAGTTACAGTATGAAAAACATTCATCACCATCTATATATAATCCATCAAAAAAGAGTACCAATAGGCAGAAGATTAATCATCAATTTAATAATCAAAAATTAATACACAATAAATATCATTGTAATTAGGAATTATGAGGATGAATGGAGAATTATTAGGAGAAGATAGTAGAAAAAATCAAACGGCTACAACATGCCATAAACTGAAGAAGGGATTTTACCTTGGCATGAAGCTGTGAAACGTGGGGTGTGTTAAGAGGAAACAAAAAAACGGCAAATTGAAATTTTATCGTGAAGGGTAAAACAAAATGGTTAGTGAGCTTAATGTTTGAGATGTTTATTAGCATTTTAATAGCAGTTATTATTTGGAGTAGTGTGCTAATAAAATACTATTAGAAATAAATGAAGAAAAGGAGTGAAATAACAAAAAAATTCAAAAAAACCAGGAAAAAGAAAAATATGAAAGCTGGCCATTCAGGGATGCCACATCAGCCGGTCATTTCCCAACTTTATATATATATATATATATAGATTTTATCTAGTACTATACTTTTTCTTTATAATGTTGCAAGTTTATTTTTCATATTGTTGGTGCATGATATAATGAAACGACGACAAACAATACAATCTATCCAACCATTATATACATCAAT